TCTGGGTAGGCTGCTGAGTACGGTCTCTTTCATGAGGTACTCGGCGCGTCCGCGGTTGGGGCGGACGGCGGAAGGTCCTTTCCGGCCCCGGATTCTTACGGCTATGAGAACCCCGATGCGTCACCTTTTGCGGTGGATCTCGGGAGAGGCCCGCTGAGTACGGTCTCTGTCATAAGGTACTCGGCGCGTCCGCCCTTTGGGAACACGGCGGAAGGTCCTTTCCGGCCCCAGATTCTCACGGTAATGAGTACTCCAATGCGTCACTTTTTGCGGTGGATCTTGGGAGGCCCACTAAGTACAGTCTCTGTCATAAAATACTCGGCGGTCCTTAAATTTGCGGCCCGGGTTTTTCACGGTTGTGATAACACCGACGCGTCCCCGTTTGCGGTGGATCTGGGTAGACCCGCTGAGTACGGTCTCTGTCATGAGGTACTCGGCGAGTCCGCGGTTGGGGCAGACGGCGGAAGGTCCTTTCCGGCCCCGGATTCTTACGGCTATGAGAACCCCGATCCGTCCCCTTTTGCGGTGGATCTCGGGAGGCCCGCTGAGTGCGGTTTCGTTCATGAGAAACTCGGCGCGTCCGCCATTGGGGCGGACGGCAGGTGGCCCTTTGAGGCCTCTCTCGGTCATAAGATGTTGGGTGCGTTTGCTTCCCCGCTGAATCCTAACGCAGGCCCCTTCAAGTGGACCGGCGCGAGGTCCTGAATATTCCCGTCGTGTTCAAAAATAGGTTGAATAGATCTACAATATCCATACATGACAATCGCACGTTTGTATTTTGAGCCTGGTGGTTGTATTTTTCGTTATAAACGGCCCACTCTTGCAAGCGCTCGGAGAAGGCCCAGCGGAGACTACGTGACATCCAACGCAATCGTGACGTAGGTCGTCTCAAGACGAGCAAAGCTACGGCGAGGCTGACGTCGAGAGGATGGCCTAGTCATTCCAGCCACCGAAGCGGCTGCTTTTGTACAAATTTTGAGTGACGGCTTAATCTTCTATAGTCTTGTAGGGGGACAATAGCGACTTCTGCGACACACAAAAGGCATTCTCGGGAAGAGGGGAGTTCCTCCTGCCCCTCTTCTGTCGTCGTGGCCGGAGGCGAGACAACCTCCGTCACTAGCTGCCAAGGTTCCTAGACGGGCATTACAAGCGAGGCTTTAGCGACATCCACCAGGTGCTCTTTGCTAATCGTTTAATTCGTTTTAAAATTCCTTTTCATGACTTTTTTAACAAGATATTGGTATGTTCGATTTGATGGTGCTTTTTTGAACACATATAGACCAAACAATTATCGCCGAAATTTCCGTTGTAGTATCCCTTTAAGGTCCACAGATAGTCCGGACTTTGCAACAATAAAGATGACTGCCGTAGATGGCCGATCGCCCAGAGGCCTTTGCCAGCGCTCCCCGACTGCAATATACCCGAGCCAGGAAAACCGGTAATACTCGTCTCCGCGTTACGTAGAACTGATCCCCCAATTAGGTCGATCGAGCCGCGTATTACAGTCACTGTGCTCGGCGCTGTAATCGCCAGACTCCTATAGATATCGCTGTAAACATATCACCTATTGGAGATGCGGTATTCGAGGTTTTCAAGATTGAGTTCCAAATAGCCGGTATGAGGTTGCAGGTCCCCCCCCCCCCCCCCCCCCCCCGGCGCTGGGGGTGGGGGGGTGGGGGGGTGGGGGCGTCTGGTTTGCCCCCCCCACTCAAAAACAGGTTGGTACGCCACTAAGACTGTGATGTTTTTTTCTACAGCAAGAAACGAAGGCGACGGTTTGTGTATTTGCTTGGATTACCCGTACCCATGATCCTCGGTCGAGAAATCGTCGTAGCGGAAGGCATTACATTAGATTGTGCTCGAATTGCCTATCGATTGAGAAACGAGAATTTAACATCATTTACCAGACGAGAGGACTCCATTTCTGAGGACGCGATTTCGTTTAACTTAGCGGGACAGGCTTTTTTGCTCTCAGGCAGTGCGAACAAGGCGGTGGAAAAGTGTCTCCGTAACAGCTCTCAGAAGCAGCAGCTCCGGCCCCTGCTGCAGCTAGGGTGCCTACATGTTTCCGCTCCGCTTTAGGGTGGCGCCAACTTCTTGTTACCCTTTCCCAGATCCTCTCCCACCGCCATTTTGACCCACTTCTTATTTGGCTAAACGTACACAACGTTGAGTTTTCGTAGTTTCGACACACCGGCAACACTGTGAGGCCACTTCCGTTTCCGTTCATAAGAGGAGTCGGACGAGTCGGAGGCTCAGCGGGATGGCGGTCGTCGTGGCTGTCGCTCTCTTTATTCCGGTGTTTCATACTTTGAAGTTGCGAGCAGGAAGTATGCGTTGCGTTTATCGAAACGTGAGTCCCCTCGACAAAATGGAACGCAACAGACCGGCATCGCACGCCGAATCCTCGCCGTCGGAACGAGAGCGGTGGGCGCTCCCTAGCCCTAACGAGGATTAGCGGAGTAGCGCGAGCGCACGACTGGCGAGTGTGACAAAATGGTCGACGAAACAGCGGAGGCTGCCATGGTAACGAGGTAGGCAACACTGGTTTGTCGGCAAGAGGTATCACAAACGTTGTCGCCACCCTAAACAGCGGAGCGGCGGGAACATGTAGGCACCCTAGCTGCAGCTCTTCTCGCCGATGGTCACGGAAAAACCTGGGAAAGCCGATCTTCTACGGCACCGAACCAATACAAAAAATTCTCCCTCCCCTCCCCTCCCCTCCCCCCCCCCCCCCTTCCCAAGAGGGGAGGGGACATTTTTCACAAGTGGGAACTTCTTGATGCGGCGCTCACGGAAATAATCGACACAGGCGCAGTACGTGACTTAAAAGCCTTCGCCGGTGGTTCTTGCTCCAAAGAAGGACGGCACAGCAAGGCCTTGTGTTGATTACAGGCTGGTATACCTATAAGACTTCATTCATTTGCAATAAGAAGTTGTTTCAATTCACTCGCCTTTCCTTGAATTTGCAATAAGAAGTTGTTTCAATTCACTCGCCTTTCCTTGAATTTGTCAACCTCTCCCGCCAGCTTTCAACGCCTAGTGAATGTTGTTCTCGGCAACGCGAAATACGAGCGTACACGGATAATATAGTTGTCTTTTTTGCAAATAGTTGCCAATTTAAACTTACACGAGAAAACCACGTTGGTGTTGAAGCCCTGAGCTATTGATTTCAGTCGATGCGAAATGTTATGAATGCAAGGGATGCACGCGAAGCGGGACCTTGGAGGCGGCTTTTTGGATTGAGGCCCTGTGACAAGTCTTTTGATGGTAAGCTCGATCAAGTCGTTTGGATGACCTGCCTTGAGGAGGCGGCCTATCTGATTGGAAAGACTAGTTGCGGAAAGGTGGTGACACGACTTGGATTTGGCAGCAGCAATAAGGTTTCGGAAGATACCAGTTTTTACGTTTTTTGAGTGCGAGCTGCTGAACGGCAGGACAGGCTTCGCAGACCTCTGCTGATTGTGTTTCCACACTATTCGAGGAGAATCTCGTGCACCTTCGCATCATATTCGAACGAATGCGTCAGGCCGGCCCTACAATTCATCCAGATAAAGTACAGTTGGCCTCGCCTATAATCAACCTTCTTGACTTTGTCGATAATGGCACGCTGCGCCCGAACGAAGATAAGTTGCGCGCAATACCGGAGTACCCACCCCCTCACGACATCAAAAGCCTACAGAGGTATCTCGGAATGATTGCGTTCTATAGAGATTTCATTCCGCAATGCGCCGAGATAACGGAACCTCTGAACCAATGGACCTTTTCCACGTACCCACGAGGCGGTGGCTGCACGAACTAAAAATCGAGGAAGTGACCTACCTTATACCAATCCATAATGGGAGCTACGCTACCAGTTTCTTCGTTCTCTGAGCTACGGCGCATGCCCAACGCAACTTCAAAGAGGAGCATCCGTGGCGTCTACCCAAACGTCGTGTTTTTCTTTCCCTCGCTTTCTTTTTTTGTATAACACAATTATATATATGCTGGAATTACGTGTTCTACTCGCTGATCCACAGCCTCCTTCCGAATTTCCTCGATTTTTCGTGCCGACTTCTGCCGCTTGGGATCGGGCGCTCGCGCGTGCGCAGAACGCTTCTTCGGAAAAGGTCCATTGCTCCGCAAAAACGTTGGGGCTCCAATCTACGCTGTAAAGGTGGTTGGCCAGTGAAGCTGTGGTATCATCTTCGACGATTGTTCACTCTCCAGCTTGTTGCTCGCCCTCCCGCGGCGGAAACGGGAAGCGCTCTAGTGAGGGTACCCCGATTCTCCTGCTCATCGGGCATGGCAAAACTGCTCGCGGTCATGGATCGCGAAATGTCCTTTCCGAATGCAAATAACACTCGTCACTGCCCAAACATAGTTCTGCAGCCAGTATGAGAGTTTAGACTATATTAGAGAGTTTTAGTATGGCCAATCCGGCGCCCATCACACCCGATTCGCGGTGGGAAACCCTGGCGAGCAAAGAGGAGTTTCGGGTGGTCCAGCTGGTCCGATAAAAGTTGTCAGAATGTGATACACCAGCTGGCAGAAGAAAGCGCAGCCGTCGCCGTGAGAGTATACCAGAGACGTGGTCTCATATCTGCTGAGCAGTGACGGCATCCTGCCGCGGTACATCCCCCAGGAGGACGATGAGTCCTGCTGCCCATCGTCCGCCTCCGGCCTCTTGGTGTCGCGGCGCGGACGATAACGGGGATTAAATGTCCGTGTGTTGTTGAACCATTGCGTTGTGTCATTCTCCGAGACAGGCTAGAGAATTTTCACAAAGCATGTTTGATTCGTGCATTTGTACGCTTTTCACATATCTGCAGACAGTCTTTTATCACCAATATGACACAATCCTCATACAGACAGTGTCTGGAGACTGTCTTTTGTAGGATGTATTAGCAGTACATGTAATTGCGGCTTTAAAAACGTCACAGGGTTCCTAAAAGGTGCAGCGTGCAGACTGATCGGTATTCTGGCAACCCGGTAAAACATTTTGTCCGCAAGGTGTCACAATGGGTATATCAACCTGATTAAGATCAACTCGGAGGCATTGCATTGTATTGACATTGACCGTTCCGCAATTCTCTGGCGCCACCGCCCTGACAGCGAGGTTTGAGTTTTTATACTTTGATGAAAAGACACTGAAGTTATTTTAGTGTTTTTCAACATCTTCGGGCCTTAGTAATAAATATAGTGATGCGATGAAACCGATAGAGCAGCAAAATTGACCGAACACCAGGATAGCTCTGTCGACATTCAGCTAGACCCGTTCATAAGTTTACCTAATAGCCAAAGGTCTATCTTGTAAATCGTAACTTCTTTTGATTGTTTTTGATATAATGTGTTGAGTCATGGAATTCTGGAGGTCTTGTTTACCGGTCACAAAGCAATCTTGCTAACTTTACTTTTGTTTTTAATTTTAGATCCTGTTCAGTTTGCCAAATCTGCAAGATTCGCCACCGAGATGATGGCGACTTGTAAGGAACATCTGGTGGCGATTAGGCTGAATCCTCAGATCGCCAAGGTAAACACTTGTGTGCATCGTTCAGGGTAACATGCTCGTGATTGCAGTTTAGGTTTCGCTTGCACTTAAAACGAAACATACTATATGCGGGAGTCCTCGCACAAAAACGGAATCTGCTGAGCTGTACTCGGAAACAGCTTTCTGTGGCGCTCGAGCGTTTGGTAGACGCTCAAGCTGCGCGAGTGCACGGGAGCCCGTAGCCATGGACGGCTTAGAATTTATTGCAGTATAAGACTGGTACTATAAGGTTGTCCCCAAGTACAGGGTGTCCCCGAAACAAATTACAGCGTTATTTCCACCGCAAAAATAAACAACGTATTGCCGAATGCTCGTTCTCAGCCCAAAGGTAGCGCTAGAAGTCCGAACCAGATGCCTCAGTTTCAACCCGAACCGATATCTTGTTCAAAAAGTATAAATGATTTTCTGAAAATTTCAATGGGAATATGGGGCCCATCTTCGCCCATTTTCGGTTTCTGACGCGACAGAGCTCCATGTATTCGAGAGCTCTGTCAGCCACCATTTTCCCATTGGAATGTACAGAAAATCACTTATAACTTTTGAATAAGATATCGGTTTAGGTTGAAACTTGGGCATCTCGTTCGTACCTCTACCGATACCTTTGGGCGGAAAATAAACGTTCGGTGATGCGTGTTTTTTTTTTTTTTTTTGCGTTGAAAAAACCTTTGTAATTTGTTTTCGGGGACACCATGATATAGAATCACGCGCTTTTGCCCTTGTCCACACTGTAGACACGGCGAGTCTAGGGTAGTCAAACCCGTGGAAGAAGCTGATCCAAATTTCGAGGTCATGCAGCAAGACAACCGAGAGCTTGTGCACGTTCCCTGTTTACCTGTATTGTTAGTGATGATCCATGATTTTCCTGCACAGTGCAAAGTATGAGAGCACGTACCCACTAGTAAGACCTTGGCACTCAACCTCAAAATCTCTTGTGTATCGTACTAAAACGCGAGTAGGTATTACTGAGCAATATGGGGCCATATACCGTTTCAATATTTACAAATCCTGTACAGTACACCTAACCGTGTTATAAATGTCGCATCGACCAGAAAAACTTTGAACGATCGATACCCCATGCATCTTAAGACTTTTGTGCAGTGCGCCTTTTTCCCAAGCAAAAGCTATTGCAAACTTGTTTTTCGTTTACATTTGAGAAGTGTTTGACAGCATTGCTGCGCATAGCTTGTGAGGTGAACCTTCATAAGCGACTTGTGCTAGATCAACGGCACCTATGCAGTTAAATGGGGAAGCTGCAACTGGGCAGGTTGAGAAACTCTTGTACTTTCACACAGGGCTGTGCGCCGATGCGATGCGCCGGTGTCGACACCTATCCGCAAGCCTCTCCGGTCCCAACACTACCCCGTATTCTAGTACACTGTAGTCAGGCAGGAGTGCAAAAGACGGCTCGTGCCGTCACGCGCGCGCAGACCAGCAGCGAGCAACGTTACTAGATCACAGTCAGCTGACGATGTTCCTAAAACGCCTGGCGCCTTTTCCTGTGCGTCCGCTCGGTCGTTCGCTGCGCTATCAGCCCGCACTATGGACAGAAGCGACGGAACCGGTAGACCGTTAAATAAACACACAAAAAAAAAGTGAAAGCCGTTTACAAATCCCTGTAACGCCGAATTGGAGCGCAGCTCTTGAGGAGGAGGAGTGAAGGGTACTGAGGGGAGGGTAGACCCCTCCCCCTTCTCCTCCTCCTCCCCTCATTCTTTAATATGCTCCGGGGGGGGGGGGGGGGGTGTCACGTGACTTCGGGGAGGGGGTCACGTGACCTCGGGGAGGCGTGACCTGGGGGTGACCTCAAGGCCACGTGACCCCAAAGGTGACCCCCACGTGACCTTGGGGGTCACGTGACCTTGGGGGTCACGTGACCTTGGGGGTCACGTGACCTGGAGGGGTCACGTGACCTCAGAGGGGTCACGTGACCTGGGGGTCACGTGGGGTCACGTGACCTTGAGATGACCTTGGAAGGGGTCACGTGACCTTGGGGGTCACGTGACCTCGGGGGTCACGTGACCTTGGGGGTCACGTGACCTTGGGGAGGCGACCACGTGACCTCGGGGGTCGCGTGACCTCAGAAGGGTCACGTGACTTGGGGGTCACGTGACCTTCAAAGGGTCACGTGGGGTCATTGTGGAAAAGACGTCCGAGCTCCACGGTGTTCTGGCTCGAACTGTTTGCTTTTATTCTCGCGCCTCAGGAAGCTCGCGCAGCGAGCTTAGAAAAAGAAGAAAAATTATTTCATATCTCGGAGCTGGCTCCTATAGGGCTCCCCCCTGGCAGCATGGAGCACGGAAATACAAATAAAATTGTAGTTGATCCAATGGTGGCAGCAAGAAGAAGAAGGGTTTTGGGAGTTATGTGGCCCATGAAACAGTTCTTGGTTTCTTGGTTTCCTGGGGTGTTACAAGTTGCTCCGAGTATGAAAGATGAGAATTTGATTCCTGAAATGCGGGTTTGATTCGGTCCATGGCGACGATTTCTCGCTGTCCGTGAATGTCAAGAGTCATGGTCTTGTCGGTGCGCTCGAGTATCTTAAAGGGTCCCTCGTAAGGTGGCGTGAGACTTTTCTTCTTGACTTCCTTTCGGACGAATGCGTGGGTGGCAGTTTTCAATTCTTGACTTACGAAGGTCTTCTGAGAATGGGGCATCCGAGGTTGTGTGGGCTTCAGTTCTTGCATGAAGTGCCTCAAGTCGTCTAGGTACACTTGGTGTGGAATTGTTGGAGTGCACTTGGTGATATCGAAAAATTCTCCAGGGAGTCGGAGCGGCGATCCATAAACCAACTCAGCCGAGGTGCATTCCAGGTCTTCTTTGAAGGCGGATCGAATGCCGAGAAGGACGAATGGGAGATGGTCGACCCAGTTGAGACGTCCATCTCGTGCTGTGATTGCGGCCTTGAGCTGTCGGTGTAACCTCTCCACCATGCCATTGGCTGACGGGTGGTATGAGGTAGTGTGCACGTGGTGCGTGCCGAGGAGCTGGGCTAAGGCAGAAAACAGCGAGCATTCGAATTGCCGTCCCCGGTCCGTAGTGACGGTGGATGGACATCCGAAGCGGGATATCCAGATGTCGATAAAGTTCTTGGCGACTGTCTCGGCAGTGATGTCGACCAGGGGAGTGGCTTCGGGCCACCTGGTGTAGCGGTCGACGCAAGTCAAGATGTACGTGAAGCCTCGGCATGACGGCAGGGGGCCCACAAGATCAAGGTGAACATGGTCGAACCGTGCCGAGGGGGCACGGAATGGTCTCAAAGGTGTGACAGTGTGTCGGCTCACCTTAGAGCGCTGACATTGAAGGCAGCTTCTGGCCCAACCTCGTACATCCACGTTCATTGTAGGCCACACATAGCGAGCTGTCACCAGTCGCTGCGTGGCTCGGATGCCCGGGTGGCTGATGTTGTGGATGTGGTCGAAGACCTGCCGACGAAGTGTCAATGGGACGAAAGGTCGAGGATGTCCCATGCTCATGTCGCAGAGGATGGTACCGGTGGAGTGAGGGAGGGGAATCCGCCTCAACACCAAAGACTTCAGCGTCTCAGGGTGGTTGTTCAATTCAGGGTCGTCTCGTTGCGCGGCAGCGATGCGTTCGAAGTCTACACCTCCAGAGACTGCTGAAAGTGCTTCGACGCGGGAAAGAGCGTCCGCTGCTGAGTTGTCTTCTCCTTTGATGTGGCGGAGATCTACCGTGAACTCTGAGATGTAGGCGAGTTGTCGGATTTCTCGGGAGCAGTAGGCTGTGTGATTTCCATGAAACGCGTAAGTCAAGGGCTTATGGTCCGTTAGGACGTGGAACTCGTGACCTTCCAGGATGTACCTGAAGTGCCGAAGGGCAAGGTAGATGGCAAGGAGTTCTCGTCCAAACGTACTATATCGTGTTTCTGCAGGTTTCAGTTTCTGAGAAAAGAAACCTAGTGTCCTCCACTGGCCGTCAAGAAGCTGCTGTAGTACAGCACCTACAGCTGTACTGGACGCGTCGGTCATGAGACGGGTAGCAGCCTCCGTCTGTGGATGGACCAGCAGGGTTGCGTTGACCAAGGCTTCCTTCACGGCGGAAAAAGCTGATGCAACCTCATCGGTCCATTTAAGTGACGATGATGGCGCTTTCTTGGTCTTCAGCAGGTCCGTCATAGGCTGTAGAATTTCGGCACAGTGGGGAATAAATCTACGGTGGAAATTTACTAGCCCGAGAAATTCGCGAAGCTTTCGAAGCGAGGTAGGTTGAGGGAACTCGCGTATTGCCCGGACTTTTTCTTGGAGTGGTAGGATGCCCGACGATGTTATGCGGTGGCCGAGAAAGTCCAGCGCGTCGGCACCGAAAACGCACTTCTTCGCGTTGATGACGAGGCCATACTCCTGCAGTCGGTCGAACAAAAGTCGCAGATGTTGCTCGTGTTCTTCCGGAGAGGAGCTGGCCACGAGAATATCATCAACATAAGCGAAGATGAAGTGAAGGCCTCTGGTAACTTCATTTATAAGGCGTTGGAAAGTTTGCGCAGAGTTTCGGAGGCCGAAGGGCATCCGGACGTACTCAAAAAGTCCGAACGGAGTTGTGATGGCGGTTTTGGGCACATCCGCTAGCTCGACTGGAATCTGGTGGTAGGCCTTAATAAGGTCTACCTTGCTGTAGATGTTGGTGCCAGCTAGGCCAGCGGAGAAATCGTGAATGTGTGGCAAGGGGTACCGGTCAGGTACCGTGCACGTATTCAAGGCGCGATAATCTCCGCATGGCCTCCAGTCGTTTGGATCCTTCTTAGGGACCATGTGAAGGGGCGACGCCCAATTGCTGGAGGAGGGGCGGATGATGCCAAGCTCCAGCATATGTTCGAATTCTCTGCGTGCGATGTTAAGTCGCTCGCCGAAGAGTCGACGAGGTCTCGCAGAGACTGGAGGGCCGTTGGTAATGATGTGGTGGGTCACGGCGTGCTTGGCGGGTACCTCCGTGTTGCACGGTCGGGTTATGGCAGGGTATTCTGCGAG